CTCAGGTTGTTGGTATACTTTTACGTGGAGTGAACAACTGCATACCAAATGGGACTACTTCATCAAAACAATTCTTTAAGTCTTTACTTGTGTATTTTGGGACAATTATTACTCACCAAGTAACTGTATTTTATATTTATATTAATTTGTGTGGACCGAATTCCTCTCTACTAACATATATGTTTTGTATTTGTTTTGTCCTTTTTATTCGCGTATAAATGGGTTTAGCTATTTAGTGCACAACAGGTTTTCCAGTGGTTATGAAACTGATCTTAGTTCATGACCAAATCTATAAACAGTCAAATCCCTGCAAACCAACTCTTAGGAGTTAATTATTCTACAAATCTTGTGCACTGAACTTTGCTAAATTCCTCAAAGAGAACTAAGTGTACGAAGGAACTCTTACCGACAAAACAGACTGTTTTTTAGAATGTTTGCATACAATAAAGACTTCGTTTTGATGACTGCTACTGAGACATGAATACCTTAATATTCATAATCAATCAAATGGCTAATTAACTAACTGTAATGAAAATTAATCACTGTTTATTTGATTGTTTGTTATTATTTTTCTTAAAATTCATTCTTGGGAATTGGATCCATTATCTAATTGTTTACCGACTTCTTATTGAATTATATACAAAACTACCATTATATGAACCAATAATTTTTGGGCTGCATTTAGAAAAGAATTAACAAGTCGATACTGCAATGTAAGCCATAAATATAAGTGGATATATTCATAAAACATACACAGGATTTATTTGATCGGACAATTTTAAATAGTAAGCTATATGTTATGATTGTTAATAATCTGAATAGATTGTGCATATTATATTTTTAGATGATTTATAGCTAAACTTGAGTAATGTAAGTGTAGTAGTTAGTCAGCTAGATGTATTTTCTGACCAATACACCGGGTATTGATTGAAATACTTTTTTTCCTTCACGTTCCCCAGTGGAACATAGGGCTTCAAGCTATTGGCTTGAAGTTTCTGTAGCAGTGTTTATTTTACAGGATCGGGTTGCTAGCCTCCTGTCCAACTTTTCCTCTTCACTAGCATTATTTCTGGCTTAGCGAGGTAAAGGAGTGCGTCGGCCGGGGATCGAACCCTGGACCATGTGCATGGTCGGCGAGCGTCCTAGCCGCCACGCCACCGACGCACTGATTGAACTATGAGCAAACATAATGATTTGTAGGCAGCAATTAGACCAAATCCAAAAGCCGACAACAGATTAATAGATTTCGACAGAGAAAGAAAGACCAGATTTGCAGTGTAAAATGATATCATTCCATTTCACAGGTTCTCATCAGCTGCAGACTATGGTTATATAGATGATAATAACATACTTTAATGTTTAAGTGGTAGTAGAGAAGAAATAGTATAGAACTGACGCGTTCAGAATGTTAGCAGCTGATGAGATCCTGTGAAATAGAATGATATCATTTTATACTGCAAATCTGGTCTTTCTTCCTCTATCGAAATGTATCAAGGGAAACAAGTGTTTGAGATTAATAGATGTTGTTCGGAAACATCTGCTACTAGTTCTGTAATGCCTTACCAAGATTGTACCAGTACGTTGGGTTTTCCAAATTAATTATCCCCTCCATTATTGACACAGAAGTAACAATTATATTAATGTTTTAAAGTACCTCTCAGAAGCGAAGATCCTCTCAAATAATCTTCATCATGATTCATCTAACCAATAAGATAAGTAAACTTTCAACAGTATTTGTGAAATATGCTTGACTGTGACAAACTGAAACAGTGCAAACATTGCCTGTAGGAGATTCCTAAGGGAACATTTGCAAGTCATCGTGTGGCTCGTAACGGTATCTGGACCAATAACCTGGTTATATTCCGAGATAAATTCGTAAAATTCCAAAAGGGATTTTCTTTAGTTCTATCTGATAGCAGTGTCAGATAGAAATCACCGAGTTGGATATTAGAATAGATACTCTTGGCTTACAGTGGATTCCGATGACGTCAAATTGCGAAATCCAAGAAGTTAGAAAGTGTAATACATTGGATTTTGAGTTAATGGTTGGATAAAAACACGTCTCCTCAGTAATCTGATGATCGTTGACACAATCATTCGCTGTTTCGCGATTGCACGCTGTTGAATTGTCCAGACTGGATAGAGACGGATTTCCTGTTTTCTTTTAATTACAATGTTTATCCTAGTTCATATAAATTTCTATTTAATTAACATCGGACAATAGCTCTTTTCCTCTTCTGTCTCTCCACACATATACGACCAGCGTAAACATATTGAATATTTGACTACTTGAAAAGCAAATCATGTGCGGATCAGATTGCGACGCTATGTGCCATCATCAAACAGAGCATAGAAAGGCAGTCAAGTCTTCACCTCAATTTCACAGACTTTGAAGAAGCCTTCGATAGTGTTGATCGCGAAGTAGTGCCCCCCCCAAACCTTTATCAACCTCATTCAGCAGCCATATGATGGTGCCTCATGTCAAGCGATTAACGGCAGAAAACTCAGAGAAACCTCTGAAGTGACGATGGAGGGAAGACAAGGTTACCTATTATCACTAATTATATCCTTGATTGTGGTTGACTGGAACATGCAGGATACCGTAGTGAGCGAGGAAATACTGGAAGATGTGTACTTTACGGACAATTTAATGTCTAATCTCACCCAAATCCGAAGACTTAAAGGCAAAAACCAACGTACTTGCAGGAGATTCAAGCAGCGTAGACAGGACTTTAAGTGAACACAGAGAAGACGGAGGTGATGAAGATAACCAACTAACAACAGCAAGCACCAATCACCAACGGAAGAAAATTGAAGGAAGACACCTCTTTTACTTATCTAGACGAACATCGTTTCAGCTACAAGCGGTACAGATCAGGATGTCACAGGCAGGATCGGAAAGGCAAGACAGACCTTCATTTCTCTGCAATCCCTATGGAAATCTGCTGCATTCAGTATATGGAACAAGATTTGGATTTTTAACACCATTTTCAAGTATGTAGTTCTACATGGTTCAGAGACTTGGTGAGTCACCAAAACCACTTAAAACAGGCTGAAGACCTTCATCAGCAGCTGTCTTTGCTGACTCGATATTGAAGATCAGATAGCAAGCCCTAAAGATAAGTAACAATGAAATCTGACAACAAACCAACCAGGAACCTTCTACCCAATAAAGTATGCTGAAGGAAATGGAGATGGATTTGACTAGTTCATGTACTTTTTACTCAGCAAGAGAATGATAAGAATATCGTCTCTATTCTTCACCTTATTTCGATATTTTTAATAGGAATTTTCCATAATTTTTATTCTGTCTACAAAGAAGTGATGAATTACTTCACCAAACGAGATACAGAGCATTTGACAAGAAATTCTAATACAGAAGATACGAACAACATAGAGAGTTGTTCACTCACAGAAACAGGTGAACAGCATAACGTGATATAGATGATGTTACTATACAATCATGTGATTAGCCGTCTTGCAATAACTGATTTATAACTCCAGAAAGTTAACAATAAAATCCCCTTTTCCGTAATATCCTGATTTACAGGTATAAATGGTGTTGTTTACTTGCCGAAATTAGAATTCAAATCATAGAGGAAACATGAAATTCATTACCATGTTACTGAGTTCCAACAAGCACGCAGCCTACGTGAAATGATTCCTCCTAATTGACTTATTCTAGCACTACAGTATGTAACAGCATATATTGTCTTAGCTTAGTAAAAAAACAACACATTCAAAAATAGACAATTACATTGAGTGCCAGTCCCAAATAGAGTAGATCAGTTGTAAAGTTCCTGACTTTTTACCAGATGACTCCAGTTCAACAGACCATAAGTTGCAGATTACAAAAATGCTTTGCTGCTGAGTGGCAACAAACAAAATCTTATGTCTTGGGCTTGGTTGACTCCTGGAATGTATAAAAGCTTCACTTCATTTGAAACTTCTCACTTTCACATCTGACTAGCCTCCCGGCTTAGTAAATCAATTCAAGTGTCCCTACAGGAACGGAATAGAAGTTATGTGACTCTTAGAAATCATAATTTTAATGTTTTAATAAGTAAACACTGTTTTATACATGGAAATCACTTCTGGATAAGATTAACAGTGCTACTAAAGTCTTATTACATTCCTCTGAATTACTTGATATTGATCAAGTCTTCATCGTACGCCACAGCTAAATATAACGAACAGTATAACCACCACTATCCACCAAATGTTTCCATCTTTTAATTTAAACTTCTTGAACTTTTGTTCAACATTTTCGTAGAATTAACTGAGCTCCAGTTTCTTATACACATCTGACGAAATTCTCACTAGTATTTCCAACCAATGGTCGAAGACTTCATCAACTGATCCCATTCCTCCTGAATCTTATCCATTCTAATCCTGTACCAGCTAACATTGTTCGTCCAGGAAGACTGTAGCTTCGCCTTTGTAACACAAGTCCTCGTCATCTCAGTTGATGCAGTTTCACAAATCTATAAACCACACTCTCTTATTCCATGCTTATACTGAGAAACTAAACTTCATAGCTTCAAACATTTGAGCATCAATTAAGATCATTTTATAGAAAAGTCAGAATTTTCTCACGTGAAAAACATCACATCCTACCATTATTTAATCAAAGAAACGCTACAATTCAAGAGGTACTATCCTTCGTATTTGAAATTTTATTATTATTATTTCAGTCTGAATGTAGTCTACGGTGATTTGACAGTACAGTCGAAGAAAGAATCAAATGCAATGCCAATATCATATGTCATAACTAACTGTCATTATCCTTAATAAATGATTTTATCACTAGTGACTCATGCATCTTATTCTACATTTAACCAATCTTCATTATGTGACTGATTTACTGTTGAATTTTATTTTCCTTTTTGTAGTAAAATTCTTATAACGCAATACAAAGATAAAGAAGTTAGCTGACAGCACTTCAAAACATCCTTCTCCTTCTAAAAGTCTCCTACTGAAACAAATTCAAATTAGCACAAATGCAAAAAGAACGAAGTGTTTACCAAACACGCATTAAGACAATATTCAAAAAACTACTGTACATAGTATTGTTCATTTCACTATTCTGTTTATTATGGCATTTATGTCATCATTTATATCGAAAGAATGCAAAACCATGGAAACTACTATTATGGAGCAAGTCATCAGGGATATTTTCAAATGATGAAGAATTTGAAACTTTTAAAGTTCGCCCAAAAGGTTTACTGGAGAAGAATTTGAAACTGCCTAACTTATTAGATATTTCATGGCCTATTCCACCAGTTGCTAAAGTACCAAGTGGAAGATGGCTACCAAATGATACAATAAGTATGCCTTCTAAGGCATTTGAACCAATATTTAGTAGAAATCAACGTAAATTAGTAAAACATCTCTTAAATGTATTCGCTAACAAGATGTATGAAAATGGTTTAGGCGATAGATTTATGATATTCGGCGGTACACTTTTAGGTTCCTTTAGACACCATGATTTTATTCCATGGGATGATGATGCTGATTTGCTAGTGGATGGAAATGTTCAACATTTGGTGCGAAAAATATTCAAAGATATTGAAGGCGGCTTTCTACTATACAGAGAAGGCAATATAGACAAAATGTATACTAAAATACTTCCAAAAGAGAATAATACAGAAGTCGACGTGGAACAAAGTCGAAAAACTTCAGAATATCCATGGGGTTGGCCATACATAGATATATTTTTCTATTTATCAAACAAAACTCATATATATGTTGAAAATGATAGAACTTGGTACCCAAAGTCAATTATCTTCCCTTTATACTTTAGACCATTTGGAAAGACATGGTATCCAGCACCAAAAGATCCGCTGGCATTCTTAAAGTATTCTGATTTCCATGGTAATGTGTGTGAAACTGGATACTCTCATATTTTACAGACCTCTCCGCCTGCGCAAAGTATGTTTTGTAGAGACTTAGGCTACAAATATGCATTTGTTCAACACAACATTGTGAATAAATTCGAAATGAAATCAACTGAATTTCCAAACGGAGGTGATTCGAAACCATCTTTCAATGAAATTGTTCTAGGGGAAGAAAATTTAGTATTTGAAAGCAAGAATACTCATCAGTTGATAATACATACAATTAGACTTCCTGTCCCATATCATAATACTCAAGTTGAAACATATGGTTTGAGTTACAGACCGTGACGTTATGAAACACTTTTACTGTATTCTCCTGCTTTCATCATGGTTTATTTCAAGGTTGTCAAATAAGTATCTTATTTGGGATATAAAGACGCTTATTAATATATATGGTGCACCTTCCAGTGTTGTAATTTTTTGTTCTAACGAGTACACATCTGGATGTGCTCTAACACCGTTTTGCGCTTCTTCCTTGTGTTATTTACATGCACATTCTCTGAGTCGGTACTCCATTCATACCCGCTAGATAAGCACGAAATACTTTTCTCTGAATACTCAACTCTTTATTCTATTCAAATATATTGCACATTAAAGCACACTACTAATTAACTGAGTCTTTTTGGTTTGCTTTTTCGTTATCAGTACCTAAAAGTTATTAAAGTATTGGGTTGGAGAGATTCGGTTGATTGGTTACAGGACTTCATTATGAGCTAAAGCGTCCCAAACTTGGGGTGACGAAACAGCTGTCCAGTACTCCAAGGTTTTCCTCTGGTTCTATAAGTGATGTCAGCTCATGATGAAATCCTGTAACCTACAAGTTAGTCAGAGTAGTGATTCCTTGGGTAATCAGGCAGCATATGTTTAATAAGGCTTATATGCCGTAAGTAATCAACAGAACTACCAGTACCTTACAAATATCAGAATATCATGAAGTTTATTTTACTAGATCTGGAAAATTTCATTGACTTTCACCACAACTTATTCTAACAAAACGCTGATAAATTCGTAGAATCAATAGATGAAATATTCTTATAAGTAAATTAATGAAATTAGAGCTCAGCAACTATTTATTAAAAGCCCTGACACAGTAGATCAATTTCACCTAAATTTTTCGTATTCTATTCATCTAAGTAAAACCTGGATATCATATGCTACTAATATAATCAGAGAAAGAACAAACATTGGTGCAGAATAACATGGATTCACCTTACTTCGTATGTTCTTATCAGCTGCGTACAACCTATAGTCTTTAATAAAATAAGTTAGTGTAAAATTCTTCACATATTTTTGTCTACCAACAGGGATCCTGTACGAGCATCATAATGAAATAAAGCATCAGGTTGATAAGGTGGCTGAAGTATTACAGTGAATATATATATATCTTGTTAGCGAAAATTTGCTGTTAAGATAGAAAACAAAGAGTTACCGAGGGTCACAAGAGTAACTGAAGTCCAGCGACAGATTCCTTTTAGACACATAGGTCAGGTTTCAAACGTTTTATTGCTCCAGCCTCAGCAAACTGGAGAAGACTTGAGCGACAATGTCCGCTAATCATTTTAAATGATTCCAGCATGTCTACTCGGTGCCCTGTGTCTATTAGTTGTTTGGTGATTGAAGAGCTTGAACTGTTTATCCCCTTCAACTAGATGTGTGGGTCCTGCTTTCTTTTCTTCGAATGTAACTGCCACTGCAGATACATGTGAACTGATATACACAATTGGAGGTAGCATATGAGTACTTGCTTATTTGTGTCTGCATCAGTGAGCAGGATGTTCGAAGCAGAGAGACTAGTTTTGCTGTAGAATAGATAGTGAACAGCACTGTGCCTAATATTTCATTTATGAGTCTCATTATATTATGCCCTTTGGATTTGAGTTCTATGAAAACTGGTTTCTTTCTAACTGTATCTGCAACAGGTTTCTTGCGTTCATTCTTGCTATACTCGTTAATGAAGCTTTGTGAGTAACCATTTCTTTCATGCATTTCTCAAGAAACATTTCTTCACTGTCTAATTTGTCAGATGAACATATTCTTTTCTCCGTAGAGAAGAGTTCTTACCAGCCTTCGTTTATAACCAAGTGGGCAGAAGTTTAGGTAGATACCGTTCCATATGTCTTCACGATACACCGATCTCTCGAGTGCCCCATCTGTTTTCCTCTCCAAGTGGATATCAAGGAAGCAAAAATTTGCAACGTTTTCGTGCTCTATCGTAAAATTGATACTCTTATGTGACTAAAATTACTGCATACAATGAATGTGTCATCTAGGTATCAATAGTAGGCTGTTTTTTATCAACTGCTCACTTGAGCTTTGTCTGTCCTATACTGATCATAGAAATATCTGCTAATACAGGAGTAAATGGAGTCCCATCACCAATCCATTGGCCTGAAGAAACATATTTTTGTCAAAGTGGGATTGCAAATCCTTGACACATAACATGAAAAGCTGCTTAAATTGCAGTTTTAGCAGAGTAAGCAAATCAGCGTGTTGACAGACGATTTATAAGGTCTCATGAAATGGGATCTGCGTGAATAGAGAAGTCACGTCGAAAGAAAACATGAGTTTCTCACATAAATTAGGTTGACTCACTTCCTCGTTGAACTGAAACGGATCTTTCAGAGTATGTTTACCTAGTTGTTGTCTAACAGGTTCCAACTTTTCCATTAACCAGAGAACAACTTTCTGGAAGCGTGAATTCACAATTGAAATTATAGTTCTCATTGGGAATTTCCTTTTATGCATTTTTGGTTGGCTAAACATATATTGTAGGGGAAACCCATTGGGTTCTAATTCACTTTATGTGTGATTGTCAATCATTTTCTTTTTCAGCAGCTCTCTGAGTACTGACTGACTTATATAAGCACTTGGAGACCAGCCACGTTGAACGGTACTGCTCGCTACTCAGGCGAAAACACTAAGAGGCTATTTGCTTCTTTGCAGCCAAGCTTGTCAGCTCAGAGAGCCGATGTAGTCGGACTGAGCTGAGTCACACTGGATACACAGATGATGGGCTTAGCCTCAAACAATCGAAACGGTCCTTAGGTGCTTAGGTCAATCTTACCTGGATAGTAATCACTACTACTCGACTTGATTGGTTTCAAAGTGTTCACATTAATCACTTAATCAATCAGTATCACACCATTTCTCTCGCTTTCTTGATTTGCATTTGTGTTATCAAGCAGATGCAAAACTTTTTGATTTCCATCTGAACTTCTTTGAACATATTTGCTGCGCAGTATTTCCTTGACTAATCGGGCATCAGTACAGGCAATTCCAACTGAAGTCTCTTTGATTCTTATGTGTGTATGGAAGCGTAAAGCATCCTCATCATTTCGTGACCACCCCAAAATTCTGAAATGATTTTTTCAAGCAACATTAAGTTTGAAGCACAGTCTACAAAAGTTTTTACAGTCGTTTAATATAGAAAAAATTAAACGTTATGTTACACTATAATAACAGTGTTCATTCTCATTTACTTTAAAATTTTGTCTGCTTCAAAAATGTGCGTACCTTAATATTTCCAAGATGACTGACACATTAAAATTTCTAAAAGTGGTTGTCACTATCTCGTAACTAAGATATGGTTTCCATTAAATTTTCTATTGCATGAATGCAATCGGGAGTATCCCGAGAAGAAAGGAACATTAGAACATTTGTCCTCACACCCGACCTGCTATGCCCCACTGATCACAACAGATACTTGCCGATGATATTGGCTAGTGGTCGCGTTATGTCGTCAGTTGGCAGAAGTTAGAATTAATGGGCTGGTCTTTTTGAATGGACACTAGTCAGTAACCAGTGTTATGTGTCTAGTCCTATCTTCGGTGCAGATTGAATTCTATCAGTCAAGCTTACGATGCGGCCACCATACTAGGTGGCTCGCCATTGTAGTGACTCATTTTATTATTCATCATCGTAGTATACTTTCAATATGTAATTGGACTTTGGCTTGTTTATTACTCTAAAGATTGCGTGTTAACAATTGACGTATTGGACTCGTTCAACTTTTCAATTTTGATTACGCGATAATACACGTTCGTACTCCTTCTCAAGTGCCTTTTGATTTACGTTGTAGATGTCGAGTAATCACAACGTTAGGACACAACAATAAACGCGAAGAAGTACTAGGATATACGTGTAGGCTAGTTTAGTCAAATAGAGCACCAAAACACCATTACGGTGCACTGTGAATTGTTGGTATTAGATGGTTACCGATTGCCTCCAACCATCTAATACCAATAATGGACTGGCCAATGGATCGCATTGCAGTGGCTTAACTGTCTACGAGCACGCCCTGTAACCGGGAGGTCCTAAGTTCGAACCCTGGTGGGTGTCTTAATGAAGAATCCCGAGTTCATATGACGCAGCTAGCTATCCAGTAATCCCAGGTTTTTCAGTGGTTCTCTAACCAATGTCAGCTCATGATGAAATCCTGTAAGTAAATAATTTAGCGGTTTATAAAAGAGGCACGTATAAATACATAAATTAAGGATAAATTAGTGGAACCGCAAAGTGCTAAACTGGTGTAGAAAGAAGCTGATTGGTATGTAGGGAAAATCCTCATTTAGATATTCAGAAAGCAAAAGGACTGAGCGAAGAAATATTTACTTTTCACTTGAAATTGAAGATTTGGAAAGGAAATAGTGGGCTCTAACTTGGTAACTTAGTGTTAGATATGTCGAGATTCAATTTATTTCACTGTAATTCTCGACACGAACAGACATTCCCTAGACAAGCGCTGAAAATCTAGATGCTCTAAAGAAAATCTTCATCTCACTCCCAGAATGTGCAGCGGTGCACACTAGCATCTTCACCAGTCAAACTTAGGATCTCGAAAGTCATAAGGCGATTACGTTATGCGTTCAGCCATTGTGTTAGAATTCAATAGCCTAAAAGTCCGAATTTCTGTCATTTCGTGACATTGTTTTAAACCATATAGCATTGCCGGTGGATACTTGTTCTCAAACTCAACTTCATAGACTTTGGTAATCACAACCTTGTATTAAAACTTCAGGATATCTATCTTGAGACCAGTTACTGATGTGTAGTAGGTAAATACTGAGATACCAAGTACGTGCAGAAGGCATTTCAAAAATATATAAACGTCTAGTGACATTGGCAAAAAGTTGGCTGCCGAAAACAATAGTGATATGCAAGCACTATCCCTGTTGTAGTGATTATAATTTAAGCCAGCTTTCGTATTTTGCGACTTTATCTAAGAACACTAATAAGGGGAACTAATGTAGCGTAGCTTAATTCACTCAGATTCAGTGTAGAGAACTGTT